TTAGTGGTCCGGTACTATCTTAGTGGTCGGTACTATCTGGTGGCTCTGTACCTTATTAGGTGATCCGGTACCATTTAGTGGTACGGTACTATCCTGGTGGCCACTGCAAACTTTCTTAGCTGGTCCGGTACTATCTGGGGCCCTGTATTCTTCTAGTGATCGGTACCATTCTTAGTGTCTGTACTATCAATGGGTGGCCCAGAACCTTCTTGGTGGTCCGGTTCTATCTTAGTGAGTCCGGGGTACTATCCGGTGGGGCCCTGAAACCTTATTAGTGATCCGGTACTATCCTGGTGGCCCTGAACTTCTTAGTGGTTCCGGTACTATCCGGTGGCTCTGTCCTTCTTGGTGATCCGGTATATCCTGGTGGCCTGAACCTTCATAGTGGGTCCGATTTACTATCCCGGTGGCCCTGTACCTTCTTGGGATCCCGGTTACTATCACGGTGGCCCTGTTACCTTCTTGGTGATCCGGTACTATCCGGTGGCCCTGTACCTTCTTGGGTGATGGTACTATCCGGTGGCCCTGTACCTTCTGGTGGTCCGTATATCCTGGTTGTGGTGCCCTGAACCTTCTTGGTGTGTCCATTACCATCTTAGTGCGTCCGGTACTATTCCTGGTGGCCTCTGTACCTTCTTGGTGATCCGGTACTTATCCCGGTGGCCATGTACCTTCTTGGTGGTCGTTACTATCTGGTGGGCACTGAACCCTTCTTTGGTGGTCCCGGTTACCATCTTAGGGTCCGGTACTATCCCTGGTGGCTCTGTACCTTCTTGGTGATCCGGTACTATCCCGGACGGGGCCTGTACCTTCTTGGTGATCCGGTTACTATCCTGGTGGCCTGTACCTTCTTGCTGATCCGGGACCTATCCTGGTGGCCCTGTACCTTCTTGCTGATCCAGGTACTATCCCGGTGGCCTGTACCTTCTTGCTGATCCGGAACCTATCACCGGTGGCCCTGTACACTTCTTGGTGATCCGGTACTATCCCTGGTGGCCCCTGTACTTTGTAGATGCATGGTCACAAGAACTACATGGTTGATTAAATTAAGACACATGTGCAACTCTTGGGTATCTTTATTGAGGAAACGTTCGCACACAGTGGAGCTTCATTCAGTCCATACAAAGGAGAATCTTGAAGAACAGGAGGAGGAATGAGGTAATCAGTCCCTCTACCTTTGAGACGATGTGGTCAGTCCATCAATCTTGAATAGAATACGGATACGTGCGGAGAAGCAGCTTTATAAAACGTAGGCAGGAGAGGTGCAGCAGCTGGGACATAGGTGGTGTCCACATTTGTCAATGTGGATGTAGGAACCTCTCCTGCTACGGTTTATAAACTCTTCTCCGCACGTATGCTGTATTCTAGTCAAGATTGGATGCGATGAACCAACATAGACTCAAAGGTTTGAGGACTGATTACCTCATTCTCCTCCGGTTTCCTTCAAGATTCTTCCTTTGTATGACTGATGAGCACTGTGTGGGCGAAACGTTTCCTCATTAAAGATACCCAAGAGTGGCACATGCTTTTTAATTTATCGGCCCTGTACCTCTTGGTGGTCCGGTACTGTCATGTCGATCTGGAAGCCATCTTGGTGGTCGGTGCTACCCCTGATGGCCTGGTATCTTCTTGGTGGTCCGATTACTATCCCGGTGGTCCTGAACCTTTCTTGATGGTCCGGTACCAATCTTAGTGGTCCGGTATTATCCTGGGTGGCCCTGAACCTTCTGGTTGATCCCAGTACCATCTTAGTGGTCCGGTACTATCCTGGTGGCCCTGAACCTTCTTGTGATCAGGTACCATCTTAGTGGTTCGGTATTAGCCTGGTGGCCCTCTGAAACCTTTTCTTGGTGATTCCGGTAACATCTTAGTGGTCCGGTACTAATCCTGGTGGCCCTGTACCTTCTTGGTGATCCCGGGTACGTTCTTAGTGGTCCGGTATTATCCTGTGGCCCTGAACTTCTTGGTGATCCGGTACCATCTTAGAGTGGTCCAGTATTATCCTGGTGGCCCTGAACTTCTTGGTGATACGGTACCTCTTAGTGTCCGGTACTATCCCCCCCTGTGGCCCTGACCTTTTGGTGGTCCGGTACCATTTAGTGGTCCAGTTACTATCCTGGTTGCCCTGTACCTTCTTGGAAGTTCGATACCATCTTTTGTTTGGTTTCATATTGTCGATCTGAGTCCATCTTGGTGGTCTGGTGCTATCTTGGTGGTCCAGTACTTCTGGTGGTACGGTACTATCTTGTCGATCCGAAGCCATCTTGGTGGTCTGTTGCTCTCCTGGTGGGCCATGTTACCTTCTTGGTGGACCAGTATCCTATTAGTGCTCCGGGGTACCATCTAAAGAGGTCCGGTACCATCTTGGTACGACACCATCTTGTCGATCTGAATCCATCTTGGTGGTTTGGTACTATCTTGGTGGTCCAGCACCTTTTTGGTGGTTCGGTACCCTCTTGGGTGACCGGTATCATCATGTATACGGTTCCATTTTGTCGATCGTAGCCTTCTTGGTTGGTCCGTTACTGATCCTGGTGTCCCTGTACCTTCTTCAGGTGTCCGGTACACCTTAGAGTTGTTCCGATACATCTTGGTCGGTACAATCTTAGTGGTCCGGTGGTACCGTTCTTAGGTGGTCCGATCGTACATCTTGGAACCGGTTCCATCTTGTCGATCTAAGCCATTTTGTTTGTCCGAATCATCATATAAATGGTCACGAAGTCATTCATTTGTCGTATGATACTCATTATCAGCTTGGAAACCAGTTAGAAGCACGTAGAACAGTACTGAAAGAAGCCTAGCGGTCCGCTGCTCGTCAAAATGAAATCCCATTAACCCATTGGCGCCCAGTGGCCTGGTGGCTAAAGTTATGGATTCACACGCTGAGTGTCCGGGTTCGATTTCCCAGGTCGAGGTAGAAAAAGTTGGCGTATTTATTTTTCACCGGTTGTCTATGTTTCACCATCAGTAAAATAGGTTCCTGGGTGTTAGTGGGCTGGTGTGGGTGCGCATCCTGGGGGGGTTAGTGGACTGTTGTGGGTGGCATTCTGGCCAGAGGCGTCGCTAGAGATGGTGTCACCCCATGGGGGTGCTATAAACTCCTGTTATGTCACTGCTACATTGACAGTTATGTCCCACTGCTAATGACCATTTATGTCACTGCTACATGACCAGTTATGTCACTGGGCTTACATGACCAGTTGACAATAATCAGAGAAACATAGTTCGATCTGACTCTTGGTACATGTAACAAAAACTAAGTGAATCTGATCTTACATATGAACTTGAGTACATGTTAACCACTAAGTGAATTGACTTACAGATGACCTTGAAAGAAACCCAATGTCATTTCTTCTCCTTATTGCCAAATCAAACGTCGAGAACAACAATCCAGTATTGGGCCCTACTTAAACAAGATGGGTCCTACACAGATGACAGAAGGAAATGAGTTGAGCTACTCAAGTCCCAAATATGACTCAGTTTTTAGCAAGCGCTAACCAGACTGAGGTTCGAAGATCAAAATGAATTTTTTATGAGGAGAGCCAAAAAACAAAATTTGATTACACAAGGCCTATCCGATGTTATCCTGACGCCAAAATGGACTTCGAACAGGACGATAAATGACATGCCATGCACTCTGCCCCGGGGCCAGATCGGGAAAATCGTGTTCATCAAGAATGCAAAAAGCCCTATCACGAGCCTTTTCCATTATGGAGAGGGGCATGGACAGGGGGGGTCGTCCCCCATTTACTAAAAAAAACGACAACCCCCACTCAAAAAAAGGGGCGTAAAGCAACAGCAAAGAAAAGACGATAGCCTAAACCCCCATTCATAAAAATCTTTAAAAGGGGTTTTTCCCTAAAAAGCAAGAACCATTAAAACCCCCATCAGTTACACAACCCGGGGGCAAAGGGGTTTTAGAACGGTTTTCGTCTGTCTGTCTCAACTATGGTCACTACGAAAGGTCCAAAAATGCACTGAGTTAAAAAGAATGAGATGTATATATACAGATTTGCAAAAGCTTCGAAAAGTGTGACCATGGCTTTTAATAGGACAAAATGGTCTAAAGGAAAAACGGGAAAAGTGGTCGTTTGGATCTAAAATTTCCTCAAAACAGAACACAGGGTAGTCGTCAACAGAGTAAAGTCCGAGGCAGCTACGGTAAAAAAGCTCTTTTCCCAAAAGGTACAGTACTAGCCCCCATCTTGCCTATCCTCATATCCGACATAGACAAGGATGTCAGCCCAGCCCCGTGTCTTCCTTTGCGATGACCCCCGAATCTGCATGACAGTGTCTTCCATTGCAGAATGCAGGCTCCAGGCGGAATCAACCAATCTTTCAGTGGGCGCAGAAAAAATATAAGTTCAACGATGAGAAATTTCAATTACCCAAAACGGTAAACGCGAGGAAAATTTTTATCTTTATCAGGTACAAAACAAATTCTGGCCCCAAAATGAGCGAAAAACCAAGTCAAAGCCTGGGATGATCAGTGGGGATTCACCCTTTAAGGCCAAACATTGTACAATGATCTGCTAGAAAAAAAGACGGAGGATAATGGGAACCCTTTAAAATAGGGAGGGGCCCAAACCTGATGACACTCTTCAGGTCACTTGTTCTATCTAGGTGGGAAAATTGTGCACACTAACGCACTTTCAAAGGGAGGTGAAAAATTGCCCCACCTAGAAAAAGTACAGAGAAATTTCACGGCGCGCATAAGGAGATTAAAAAACCTCAATTTCTGGGGCGCTTGGGTTCCTAAAAATGTATTCCTGGAACGCAGGGGGAGAGTCAGATTTATACACCTGGAAAATCCTAGAGGGATAGTACCGAACTTTCACACGAAAATTTATCATACGAAAGCAAAAAACCTTGGGGAGACGATGTAACTCCCCCCAATGGAAAAACAGGGGTTACTAGCCGTTTTTGAGACCATACAATAAGGTGTCAGGGGGCCCGAGACTGTTTCAACTGCCTCCCAGCACACATAAGGGGGGGATTACCAACAGACCCTGCAGTCTTCCAAGCTGGCACTGGACAAGCACCTAAAAAAAGTCAGTTCCTGATCAGCCGGGCCTGTCGGGTCGACGTGGGTTTGCGAGCAGCCAGCAGCAAACAGGCCTGGTTGATCAGGCTCTGATCCACCAGGAGGCTGGTCCAGACCGGGCCGCGGGGGGGCTGACCCCCCGGAACTCTTCCCAGGTAAACTCAGGTTGAGTACAGGTAACAACTCAGTGAATGATTTATATTTCTTTGCCTTCACTTTATGCAAAAATCATCTATCACATCTGCATGGAGTTCATTACCTTTGTAAATTGTGAGTTCATTAACCTTTGTAAATTGTGAGTTACATTACCTTTGTAAATTGTGAGTTCTTTTTTCCGTTGTAAATTGTGGAGTTCATACCTTGTGTAAATTCGTGAGTTCATTTACTTTGTAATTGTGAGGGAGATTCTTACTTTGTAAATTTGTGAGTTCATTACCTTGGTAAATTGTGAGTTCATTACACTTTGTAGATGTGTGTTCATTACTTTTGTAAAATTTGTGAGTTCATTACCTTTGTAAATTGTGAAGTTCATTACCTTTTTAAAATTGTGAGGGTTCATTAACTCTGTAACTTGCCTCAGCTATCAAAACTTTGGAGTCCTGTCCCTGGGACCTAATTATGTACCTCTGTAATCTTTTGATACCGCCCACAGGGAACTGGGTTATTGTGTGACTACCACCCCACAGGATGGGTATGTGGGGATGGGGGATCTACCCCGCCCACAGGAATGGGTATGATGGGTTGACTACGCCCACAGGATGGGCTATATGGGCGTGGATACACCACCAGGCATGGGTTATGTGGGTGACTACGCACACAGGATGGGTATGGGGTGACTAACACCCACAGGCATTGGGTATGGGTGTGGTGTGGGTACTAACGCCCACAGGATGGGTTTATGGGGTGTCTACCCTTACAGGCCGATGGGTATGTGGTGACCTAACACCCACTGGATGGGTATATGGAGGTGAATACCACCCACACGGCATGGGTACGGGGCCGTGGGACTTGTGATTGACACGCTCACGCCACCAACAGGAATGGGTATGTGGTGACCTACCGCCCCACAGGATGGGTAATGTGGGTGGACTACCACCACCAGGTATGGGTATGTGGTTGACTTACCGCCCCACAGGATGGGTTTTAGGGGGTTGACTACCCGCCCACAGGATGGGTATGTGGTGATACCGCCCCCACAGAGATGGGTATGTGGTGTGGACTACCACCCACAGGATGGGTATGGAGGCGTGATACCCACCCAAGGATGGAGAGTTATTGGGGTGTGTTGGTAGTGACTACCCGCCCACAGGATGGGTTATGTGGGGACTACCGCCCACAGGAATGGGGGTATGGGCTGGTACTACCGCCCACAGGATGGGTATGTGTGTGACTACCGCCATAAGGATGAGGTACTGTAAAGGTGACTACCACCAACAGGCATAATGGATGGGTATAGTGGTGACTACCGCCCACAGGATGGGTATGAGCGAGGTGACTACCCGCCACAGGAATTTGGGTATGGGGTCGACTACCGCCCACAGGATGGGTATGTGGTACATCTACATTGTCCGTGACTACCCCACAGGTTGGGTTCTATGGGGTGATGACCCCCACAGGATGGTTTGTGGGTGGACTTCGCCCACAGGTTGGGTTGTGGTGACTTACCGCCCACAGGAGGGTATATGGGGGTGACTACGCCAACAGGCATGGGTTTGTGGTGACTACCGCCCCACAGGTCATGGGTATGTGAGTGACTACCACCCACAGGATGGGTATGGGTTAATGTGGTGACTTACCGCCAACTGGATGGGTTTTTTGGGCGTATGGGGTGGGTCGAAATACCGCCCACAGGATGGGTTTTATGTGTGGTGACTCCGCCCACTGGATGGGTATTGTGGTTGGACTAACCACCCACAGGTTGGGTATGTGGTGACTACCGCCCCCACAGGATGGGTATGTGGTGACTACCGCCCACAGGAGGGTATCAGGATGGGTATGGGTGACCTACCTGCACCACAGGATGGGTTTATGGGGTGACTACCGCCCACGGAATGGGTAATGTGGTGTGACTACCGCCCACAGGATGGGTATGTGGTGACTACCGCCCCACCAGGATGGGTATGTGAGTATGACTACACGCCCCACCCTGGATGGAGTATGGGGTTGACTACCCGCCCACAGAATGGGTTTGTGGTGACTACTGCCCACAGGTGGGGTATGGTGACTACCGCCCAAGGGTATGGGTTATGTTGTGGTGACTACGGCCCAACAGCCAGATGGGTATGTGGTGACTACCCGCCCAGGGATCTGGGTATTGGTGACTACACGACCACAGGGATGGGTATGGGGTGGAACTCCGCCCACCATGATGGGTATGTGGTTTGGACTACCGCCCACAGATGGGTGTATGTGGTGAAATAACACCCACAGGATGGGTATGTGGTGACTACCCCCGCCCACAGGATGGGTTATGTGGTGACTACACCACAGGATGGGTATGTGGTGACTACCGCCCCACGGATGGGTATGTGGTGAGACTACCGCCCACAGGGATGGGTATGTGGTGGACTACCACCCAACAGGATGGGTATGTGGTGACTACCACCAACAGGAAATAAAATGGGTATGTGTATGTGGTGACTACCACCCACAGGATGGGGTTATGGGGCGTGATACCGCCAACAGGATGGGTATTGTGGTTTTGACATACCACCCACAGGATGGGTTTTTTTATGTGGTGGACTACTCCGCCCACAGGATGGGTATGTGGTGACTACACCCACAGGATGGGTATGTGGATGACTACCACCACAGGGATGGGTATGTGGGGACTACCACCCACAGGATGGGTATGGGGCACATCTCTCAGCCCCAGTGCCACTACCCCCACAGGATGGGTATGTGGTGACTACCACCACAGGATGAGGTATTTTTATTGGGTTTTGGCTACGCCCACCAGGATGGGTATGTGGTGTCTACCCGCCTCACGGATGGTGGTATGTGGTGACTACCACCCACAGGATGGGTATTATATGGGCTAGGTGACGACTACCGCCCACAGGATGGGTATCTGTGGTGACTACCGCCCACAGGATGGGTTATGGGGTGTGTGGTGACTACCGCCCACAGGATGGGTATGTGGTGATACCGCCCTAAGGATGGGTTGATTAATGGGGTGACTACCTACCACGGTTGGGGTTAGTGGTGACTACCAGCCCACAGTGATTGGGTGTTATGGGCGTTGACTACCGCCCACAGGACCATATGGGTATGTGGTGACTAACGCCCACAGGGATGGGTTAGATGCGGGTGACATACCACCACAGGATGGGTATGTGTGGTGACTACCGCCCACAGGATGGGTATTTGGGCGTGATACCGCCCACAGGATGGGTAGTATGTGGTGGACTACCGCCCGCAGGATGGGTATGTGGTGACTACCGCCCAAGGATGGGTATGGGGTGGGTGAATACCCGCCCACAGGATGGGTGTATGTGGTGTCTACCCGCCAACAGGATGGGTTTGGGGGTGACTACCCGCCCAACAGGATGGGTATGTAGTGACTACCGCCCACAGGATGGGTATGGGGGACTACCACCCACCCCCAGGGATGATGGGTATGTGGTGACTTCCGCCCAAGGATGGGTATGTGGTGACTAAACGCCCACAGGATGGGTATGTGGTGACTACGCCCCACTGGCAGGTTGGGTTGTGGGTGACTACCGCCCACAGGATACGGGGTTTAATGGGGTGACTTACCGCCACGGTTGGGTTTGTAGGTGACTACGCCCCACAGGATGGGCTATGGGGTGTCCATACCACCCAAGGCATGGGGTTGTGGGGACTACCGCCCACAGGATGATGGGTATGGGTGAACCGCCCACAGGAATGGGTATATGGGGTTGACTACCCGCCCACAGGAATGGGGTATGTGGTGGACTACCGCCCCACAGGCCTGATGGGTATGGGGTGGATACCACCACAGGATGGGGGTTATGGGGTGTGACTACCCGCCCACAGGATGGGATATGTGGTGACTTCCACCTCACAGGTGGGTATGGTGACTACCGCCCACAGGATGGGTATGGGTGGTGCATAATAAACATATTATAACTAACTAACAACCAACTCATCATCAGAATCAATAATTTCCATATATTAGCTTATTTGTACTATGTAATATTTTAATAGGTTATATAGAAAGAGGATTCTTCTGTAATGTTGGTCTTGCAGCACTTGTTTTCTGTATTAGTGTCAAACCGGGGCGGCCCGCCCCCCCCTCCCCCCCCTTACGACGCCTCCATTCCGGGGTGTTAGTGGACTGGTCGTGGGTCACATACCTGGTTGTAGTGTGGATGGTGTGTGGTGTGGGTCAACATCCTGGGTGTTACGGATGGTGTGGGTCACATTCCTGGGTGTTAGTGGACTGGTGTGGGTCACATCTGGGTGTTAGTTGTCTAGGTTGGACTGGTCGTGGGGTCACATTCCTGGGTGTTATGGTTAGTGGACTGACTGGTTCGTGGGGTCACATCCTGGGTGTTAGGTGGACTGATGTGGGTCAAATCCTGGGTGGTTAGTGGATGGTCCAGTGGGTGGGTGGCATCCTGGGGTGCTTGTGGAACTGGTGTGCCGGTCACATCCTGGGTGTTTAGGTTTATTTTCTTGGGGGACTGGTGTGGGTTTCAATCCTGGGTGTTTTTGTGGACTGGTGTGGGTCACATCCTGGGGGTTAGTGGACTGGTTGTGGGTTCACCCATCTGGGGGTGTTAGTGGGACCTGATGTGGGTCAAATCCTGGGTGTTACGTGGACTGGTCGTGGGTGGCATCCTGGGTGCTAGGGGACTGGTGTGGGTCAATCCTGGGTGTAGTGAATGGTGTGGGTCTCATCCTGGGTGTTTGTGGGATGGTACTGAGTGTGGGTCCACTTCCTGGGTGTTAGTGGACTGGTGTGGGACACATCCCTGGGGTGTGT